GAGGTTAAGGCAGAGACAAAGCAGGTTGAGGAAATGCAGCAGGTGAATGATGTGGAGGGTGAATGGTGGGACAAAGAGGAAGAGGAGAGCCTTAAATGTTCACATGAGCTTTGTCCTCAAGCTGAATCTGAATCTGTGAGAGACAGAGATGAAAAGATCTCTGAGGACGGACCATGTTCAGGAGCTGAAGCAACAATTCAAACAGGAAAGCAAAATTATGAAATATTAGAAAATGGGACAAGAGAGAGTCAGACAACACCCACTGATGGTATGGAGGGAGATAGAGGACGAGAAGAGGAAACGAAAACAATATCAAATGTCGCTAACGCTGATGAGGTGGAAAAGAGAAACTGTAAATCAAATCCAACTTGGAATGAAGACATTAGCAACAATGCTAATGACATATCTGATCCTATTGGTTTGGACATTGATCAGATAGGAGCAACAAAATGCACAGTCAATGATCCACAACTTGCAGATGAGGATGGCCATAGTGGATCTTCAACTCGTGATTCTGCTGAAAGTCAGGCTGAGAAAACTCTTACACATGTGTCTCAAGATCCTGCTACTTCCACAGATCCATCTGGTTTAGTACAAAATGAAAGTCCAGGAGCATTTGGTCTTTTCAAAAATGCCTTTAGTTTTTTCAGTAAAAGACCCTTCAGTGAGACCAAGGAGACTACAGAATCTGCCCCATGTCTGGAAACCAGCACAGGTGAGACATCTAAGGTGCAAGCCTCTCTGACTCCTGAACAAGAATTGGATTCTACTACTGATTTAATACAATATATGCACAAAGGCTCTCTCACCATGCCCACACAGCAGCACACACAACCTTCTCCTCCCTCTACTGAAATCCATTCTCATCTCAATACTCTGTCTCCAAACATAGAAAGCTCTCTCCAAACAAAAACCATTTCCAAACATTACAAAAACCTCCTCATCCATATGAGCACTGATGAGGTGACTATTTTGATGGAGCTGTTTGGGCGACACAAGCTGCAGTTTTTAGATTACATTTTGGGCAATTCAGAAAGTGTGACTGATCCTGACCATGATGAATCTATACTGTCAGATATAGAAAGACTTCTGCATCATCACGGGGAAACACTCATCACACCTAGCATGAGGCAAATTGATGCACTGCAGGAAGACAGGGAAAAGAGTAGAACACTCATTGCTCTTCAGGAACTAGAAATGCTGTTGGGCAGAGTGAGAAAGACATTCATCACAGGAGAAATAGATGACAGTAAAGTAAATCATCAAGGTATTTTTGTCTACAATGCCTCAAAAATCACAGATGCCTCAATGTTAGTGTTTTGATCAGTATCATATCAGTGTTTTGATCTATTTAATCTTTCATATTAGCTATGGTTTTGGATTTCCTTTGTGACAATAAAAATGATAAATGCACTGAGATGAATTCTAATAATATTGTATTACCAGTATTTATGGCAGCAGTGCGGTGATTAGCACTGTCTCCTCACAGCAAGAAGGTTCTGGGTTCGAGCTCAGGCTGACCCGATGCCTTTCTGTGTGGAGTCTGCATGTCCTCCCTGTGCCTGTGTGGGCTCTTTCCGGGTACACCGGGTTCCTCCCACAGTCCAAAGACATGCAGCTTTGGTGGCTCTAAATTCCCCTTAGGAGTCAGTATGAGTGTGTGTGGTTGTTTGTCTACATGTGATAGACTGGCGATCTGTCCAGGGTGTACCCCACCTCTCGCCCAATGTCAGCTGGTATTGGCTCCAGACCCCCCACAACCCTATTCAGAAATAAGTGATATAGATAATGGATGGATGGATGGATTATGACAAAGGAGGAATACTTTCATTCTAAACTCCATTATATCTCTGTTACTCTTACTCCAGAAGTGATGAAGCAAATTCTGGACTTTGTTCGTCAGATCACTGAAGACTCAGCCTTTCATGTTCATGCAGTGAGAGAGCTCCTCATGTGCATTACTGTGCAGGTAAGCATGCTCATCAGACATTATTTCTCATAGAACACATGTAGATTAAACTATTACTAAACGATCTATGCCTGCTGTGCAGTTTGTTTGTCATAAATCAAGGCAAGTTTATTTATATAGCACATTTTCATGTGTTCAAAGTGCTTTAAATAATGCATGCGTACATAAAAACAGAATTCAAATTAAATGAAGAAAGATACAAGAAGATCAAGGGTTAGGTATTAGGGTTAGGTAAAATAAATACAAATATAGAAAGGTTTCAATTAAAGAAGAGGCTGTGGAAAAATCTTTAGTTTAATTTAAAAAATGGCTACAGTTGGAGCAAATCTAATTTCTAAGGGGAGCTGGTATTTTGGGCCCAGACCATTGAAAGACTACTAGTAGTATAAGTAAGTAGTATCCTTAAATTCAGTTCTACATTTAACTGGAAGCCAGTTCCAGGATCTAAGGATTGGAGTAATGTGTTCTCTCTTCTTTGTGTTTGTTAGTATTCTAACAGCAGCATTTTGAATGAGTTGCAAATGTTTAATGGTCTTACTGGGGAGGCCAATCAGGAGTGCATTATAGTAGTCTACCAATCTAGAAATGAAAGCATGAATGTGCTTTTCTAAATCTTGCTTAAACATAAAGTTTTTCATTTTAGCTGTTTTAAGATGCCAGAGTGATGATTTTTTACAGCTTTGATGTGGCCTCTGAATTTTAACTGGCAAAAAGAATATAATTTTGTTCCATCCAGTTGGTTACTTTCTTAAGGCATAGACACAACAGGTCTATAGGACCACAGTCATTTGGTGAGAATAGATCTGGGTGTCATCTCCATATGATAAGCAACCCTATATTCTTGGAGGATTCGAAAAAGGCTGACTAGGAGGGGCCCTAGAATCTGTCCTTGTGGGACACCATACATCATGGTGGTTCTTTCAGAGTCATGATTGCTGTTATTGACTAGACATATCCCCTGACCTCTAAATATGATCTGAGCCATCTGAGGCTCGTTCCTGAAAGCTCGACCCATTTTTGACTCTATCTAGAAGTAATTCATGATCTACAGTATCAAATGTGGCACTAAGATCTACTATTAGACTCCCTGAGTCATTATTCATTTAAAATCTTTGTGAGAGAAGTTTCATTACTAAGATGCTGTCATAAATCAGTGAGAGTAAACTAAGAAATAGTTTAAGTGAGAAAGGCTCCTTCAGTGAACTATTGTAGTAGTACAAGTATATATAATTTTTCCTTCGGCCTGCAGTATCTTTGCTGTCTACCAGTATTACGATGTACAGAC